AAGGACAGACCTTGGGAATGGAACTCGTTCTTAAACTGGGGACTACCTATACTGACTTTTTTTGTTTGTTTTCTACAAATCATAACCTTGTTTAAATTACAAACCATTGGCAACTTCAGACATGGAAAATCATAGTTTTCTGCTGCATGAACAAGACTGCATGATCTTTGGGCTTGGATGGTCTCCCTCCTTTCTTCAAGGAGATCAAAAGCTTTGATTCCCCTTTTAATCTTCTTTAGAATTTAAACAATGATTGGATTTTGATTTACTAAAACCATGCTCTTGGGTTTGGGTGTAATGGGGAATTATGGAATATTAAAAGCCAAAGGGAAAACTTTCAATCTCTTCTTTGTTACCATCCAGGGAAAGGAGGGGGTAGAAGGATTTGGAAGCCTGAATTTTGTTCACAGATTAGTTAACCCTGGTGTACTGTTATGTCTGAAACAGTAATGGGAGCCAAGATGTCACCAGGACTCAGCTTGGAGCTCTGTTTTTAACATCATGATGGAACCTTGAAATGTGGGAAGTACCTCTAAGCATGCACAGAGTGCCTTTCCCCCCACATTGAATAACTGAAGTCTCTTACCTCCTCATCCATTTTAGAATTCAGAACAGTAGCTTGGAGTGTCTCTTACATGACTTAGATCAAACAATAGTATCAACGTTTTAGATACACAAATACATACACATATAAACCGAACTTTCCTGGGTACTTTATTTTGATACCTGTATTACAGGTGGTGGTATGTATAGCACTAAGAAAAGAAATTGCTCTGCAAATACCATAAATACATGCCTGATGATCTGAAACCAACTGTTTTTAAAAAGCATAACCTCCACTTCCTTTGCTAGGCTCTGAGACAGGTAGAATCCTTTCTTTTCCATGCCACAGATGTCCAGTCCATTTTTTCTAGATCACCACTGATGGAAAATATTCCTAACTCGCTTCCCCTTCCAATGTATTATTCACATCAATTGCTGCAGTTGTTCAGCTTGGGGACCACATTCCCAAAACTGAAATTGCTCTACCTAAAGTAAAATTAAACTATGTGAATTAACATAATTATTCCCCTTGCATTTTGCTGCCTTTCCTGTGGGTAGATGCAGGCAGTTCAGACTGTGGCATTCCTATAAGAGTCTGCCCCACCCCAGCAGCAGTCACAGAAGTCCTCCTGGTGTGAAAAAAATCAATTAAGCTACATCAGACTTCACATGTCATCTGGAGGCTTCAAATGGAAACTTTCAGGAGGCGTTTCTAAAATCTCTGAGAATGATATGCTAACCTGTATAGTTGGGAAGACAAAGGCAGGCATAATTGTTTATCCCATCCATACAAGTTGAGTTGTTCTCACAATCGTTATCTTCACAGTCATCTGGATTCAGTTCACATTTCTTCCCTTCAAATCCAATAGAGCAGGAACAACTTTTAACAAAGGAATAAAGGAGAGATGGGCATTAATTGACATTTCAGGCAGAAATGAGTTAGAAATAGGAACTGCATATACAAACACACACACAAACATGGGGGGGGGAGGTGTTGCCCTCTGAAGATCGAGGGATACTAAATTAGAAAGTTAATACAGATTCCAACTTCAGCACATAGCCAAAGTATCTCAGGCTGTGGTAATATTTCACAATTTAACATTTACATTTTGTCACAGAAATTAGATATACATCTCAGTAGCAAAAAAGCAATAAGACATCATTAAAGGAGAATAGTGTACCATTTAATTAAGACACATAGCTATATCCTGGGATTGCTTAGATCTTTTCAATTCTGCCATATGATACAGTTTTGCAATTCAATGGCCAGATGACAGATCTGGATGCATACAGATGGCAGATCAGCTTCAGTGAGATTTGTAGTTTGTTCCAGATTCATGCTTCGCAATTCTGGCAATGCACATATTTGCAGATATATCCAATTGTTTTTCTGGATACCCAATAAGAGGGCCAGTTAATGCCTTAGCAGTAAATCTTTTCCTGGATTATGTAATCTTAGGCATCAAGGGTACATGTGTGTGCTTCTATTGCATTTTTCATGTAACAGAATTTACATACAAACGTACACACACACACACACACACACACAGAGCCATAGAGTTTAGAAGTAAACATTATGTATGCAACAGAAATAGCAGGAATACTTTTTTTCTAGGTCAAAACTAAATGGGAGAATGCAGCTAAGGGATGATAAGACCACTTCACCAAAGCTATATTCATAAATCTTAACAATCTAGCATGACTTATGTAATAATGGCAGTAGTGCTGAACATTACAGATGAACTTAAAGGTCCTAGTTATCCTCTGATGATAACTATTTTTGGAAACACCAATCTCCCTTTTATTATTTTATTTTGAAAACATGTATACCGCAGAATGAAGAAGAAATATAATACCACAAATGTAATCATAAAACATTGTAAGGCCTGAGTGAAAAACTACGTTTTAGTTCATCCTATACCATAACAAGGAGGGAATTTGCTTCAGCTTCGGTGGCCATTTCTTCCATAATATGGGACCATCACAGAAAAAAGAAATTAGCTATTAAGATGATGGACCAGGGGGATAGCTCAGCAAATGAGGATGAATCTATCACAATGAATGATCCCTGTTACCAGTCTTTGCCAAAGACCCTGCAGTAGATGTTGAAACTGCAACAGCTGCAGCCTTCCAACTCAGTTTCCTTTCCTCAAAATATGGGAATCTGACCAAATTTACTGTCTTCTTCACTCAATGTGAACTATACTTCTTCCTGAGATCAAATGATTTCCTCACCAGCTGAACCACCATGGGATTTATAATTAGCCTAACGACTGAAGAACCTATAAAATGAAAAACCCAGACTAGCTCAGTTTTAGCTGGTGCAACTGTGAAAATTTCATGGGACACCTGAGAGCTACCTTTAAAGACCCTGTCAAGCAAGTGACTTGAGACTGTGAAAACCAGTGCCTATGACAGATGAAGCATTTAGGGAGGACATATGCTGATGCGTTGTAGCTATTAGTTCAGGATATGAGCTAGAATGAAAGAGATTGAACTGACCAGTTCATTGAGAGACTATCAGATGAAATAGAGGACAAAGTCATTCATCAAGGCACATGATTAACTTTGACAGTATTAATCCAGGTCTACTTGAACATCAACAGAAGACTCAAGGAATTGCAGCAGGTTATGGGAATGGGAAGGGTAGACACCATTATTCTCTTTCACTCCCTGGACCTCCACATCAGACACTTCAGAAATTGAACCCATGCAGCTAGGAACACACAAAGCCTAAGCTTAGCAGGATACTCATAGATCAAATGGCCAGGTTGTTAGGAATAAAAGCCTCCCCCTTGCCAATTAGTAATGGACTAGCTACAGACTCACAATGTATATATTCATTGGTATCACAATGACATCATGGTTAATTTTCCAGGATTCTGCTGGTCCTTAAATCTCCACCACTCACCCCCAACACATATGCAACCCTATATGCATTCTATGAGTACCACCCCCAGAACTCTGTAACCATTAGATATCACTACTCTCCTTCATTTATTAACTCTTAGAATGGTTGTGGAAGGCATGCATTTTTACCAAACTGGATCTCAGAGAGCTTTATAGTCTATTTTGCATGAAAGAGGAACATTAATATTTAACTGCCTTTGACTCTTACTATGGGAATTCAGAATATAAGATAATGTTGTTCAGATTGGTGTGCAGCCTCTTGGTCTTTCAGAGATTTATGAATAATATTTTCCATGATCTTTGAACAAGTTTTTGACTGCTTATTTAGATGAGTTGCTGATTTATTCTGCCAGTGTGCCCACACCTTTACGGTTAAGTCACTTTTGTAATTTAGCCTCATGTTAAGATAGAGAAAAGTTTCCTTGATCTGTCTTCATTAGACTATTGGGGTTATATCAATTAAGGTAGGATTCATCATCTCTTGGAGTAATGCCCCAACTGTATAGCATTTTGCCAATATTCACCATAAATTAATTCCTAATCTTACTGCAATTTTTACACCCTTAACTCATTTCGCTGAAACTGGGATTCCACTTAAGAGGGATTTTGAAGCCCCCAAAGCCTTTCTTCAACTTGAATGTGTGTTCACTTTTCAGCCCAACCTTTATCCTCCATATCCTGCCCTTTTATTATACAGACTGCTTCCGATTTTTGCCTGGGAGCAGTGCTTCTACAATCCATACCAGAATTTGAGAACAGCATACTTCTCTGTGTGTTCCTTTCCAGGCAACTCCTGGAACTGAAGGGATAAAACAAGTACCTGAATAATTACCAAACCATGGTCTTCGAACGACCAAGGCCCCTGAACTCAAGTAAGCCTCCCTAATAGCTTGCTTAGCTGACTCATGCCACCTCTGCTTTACTGTGTATTCTCACTGTAAGAAGAAAATCTAATCCATTTATCAGAAATAAGATGATTGACATTTGACATCATTACTGATCAGTATTTGTTATACAAGTATGTAAAGGTTGTCTGTATGCTCCTTAAGTGGGCAGAACCTTGTTTTCTGTCCCCAGTGCTGTTAAGATAAACTTGGCTCAAGTAGGTTGCGTGGTCTCTACTTGTTTCTACTCATCCATTGGGTAATGGGGAATTTTCCCCTTCAGAACCAGTACCACAGACTTACAGAGAAAAAAGGGAGGAAGTTAGCCCTCTGAATAATCAATATACCAAAATAAAAAGAGCAAGCAATGTATGGAAGATGCTACTGCTGAGTCAAGCAAGTTTGATTATCTCTTATTATTGAGCTAGTAAGGCAATCCACTTTCCTCCTTAGCAAAAGGAACAAGTCACTTTTTCCCTCTTTCTTTTTTTAGGAGGATAAGTTCAAAAAGGTGGATAGCTGTCCAGCAGAACAAAGCAATATTTTACTGAAGTATTAATTTTTTTTTAAGTGCCATAAAATGATCTGAAAAGATTATACAGAAGAACTCCTTGCACTATTAATCTTATAGTGATTGCTCATAAGCCATAATATTGGAAGGAATGGGGACATAACTTTAGAAGGGATGAAGGAAAACAAACTGCTTGAATCAATTCTATTTAAAGTGCACTCCATCTGTATGAAATATTTTCTTTGCCTGTCGGCTACCTCATTAGAACCCATAAAAAAAAGTCTCCTGTCTGACCTGGTGGTGATTCAAGAGATCACAAGAGGCAGATAGAGAAGTAAAGAAGAGCTGGCACAGCATCTTTTTTGCCAAGAAAAAAAAAAGTAAGAGGATAAAAGAACTCTAATTAAATAAAGTGATCCATTTATCATGTCTTCCGTTTCCATTACAAAACCCTCTTTTTCAGGGGCTTATAACTCAGCCATAAAACTGTGCTTTAGACGACAACTTGGCATATAAGGTCTCAGTTTAGGAGGGCAGATTATTTCTTTCAGTTTAGAAGATAAATGAGGTGACCCAGCTGGTTATTTTTACTTTCTGTTTCTGTGTGCCACCTGACCGAACACAGATATGCAGATAATTAAAAGCATATCATTAAAAAGACTGGCAATCACCCCAAACCCTTGTGATGGAGTCTTTCACACAATATGTGTATGCACTGAAATTTTTTATTGCTTTGATTTTAACTACAGGTAGTCCTTAGTTAACAATGGTAACTGGGACCAGAATTTCCATCGTTATGCGATGCAGTTGTAAAGCGTGATGTCACGTGACCTCTTCACTTAGTGACAGCTATCCCAGCACTCCTGTTGTCGTCATTAAGCAAGGATATCAGGTCATTAAATGAGGACCTCCTTGCAACTTCCTGCTGGCTGCCAACAAGCAAAGTCAGTGGAGATGCCGGCAGGAAGTTGCAAGTCCCAGGTGGCTTGCAAGCAGGCCGGTGGGCAGGTAAGTGGCTGCTGCCAGGTGCGGGAGGGTGTACAAGGGACTGGTGTGGCATGGTGCAAGCATGATGAGGCTTGGGGTGGCTACTGCAGGGTGTGGGAAGGTACAGAAGGGTGAGGGAGGGGCTGGCATGGCATAATTTGGGGTGGCTGCTGCAGGGTGTGCAAGGATGCGTGAGGGGCCGGCAAGCCGTGGTGGGGCTTGGGGTGGCTGCTGCAAGGTGCAAAAGGGGCCAGCAAGGTGCAGCATGAGCACAGCAGGGCTGGGGTTGGCTGCTGCAGGGTATGGGAGACTTACCCTAGTGACTTGTGACCTTCCATGCTGGCTTCCCCACTGACTTTGCTTGTGGGAAGCCAGCAGGGAAGGTCACAAATGGCAATCATGTGACCGCAAGACACTGCAACCATTGTTGCAAGCTGGTTGCCAAGTGCCCAGTTTGCAATCACATGACCATGGGGGTGTTGGAACAGCTAGAACTTTGAGGCCCAGTCATAAGTACCATTTGTTCAGTGCTGTTGTAACTTTGGTCACTGAAGGAGTGGTCATTAACCGAGGACTACCTGTACTGAT